GTTACTAAGTTTGGGGGGAGGGGAAGGTTATTAAAACATAAAAGAGTCAAATATCTCTTAAAATAAGACTTTAAGACTGTCTTTCCCCTGGAGAGTTCTAGAAACAATATCAGCAACCCTCTCTTCTGTGTAACCCACCGTGCTCCTTTCCTGGAACAATCTCCCCCTTGACCTTGGCCCCACTTCCACAGGCACATTTCTGGAGGGAGAAGGAAGATAGAGAAGGGGCCCAACTTAGACCCTAAGTTCACTAAAAGCCAAAGATTTTCTCCCTCTGTCACTTTCTTCTCCAGAAGACTGTTGTTGATTTGCTGACATAATTAACTAGGAAATGATTTTCTGCAGAACTAACCAGACCTTCAAAGCAATGTCTTTAGCATTAGCATATTGGCCGAAATCCACAACTTTCCCAAGAAAGTTACTCAAATTCAAGCAACAGAAGAACCCACCAACTATAATGACTACTGTCAAATGTCAGCAAGTCCAGGAAGGACTCAGGACAGCATTAGGTAAAGCAACAAAATCCACTCCCCTACACAATCTTGCAAAACTCCTTCCTCAGAGGCAAGGCCAAGTCTGAGGTTGGTTAAGGTCTTTGGCCTCTTCTTGTGTTTATCTGTAGCTGAGGCATGGCCAAGCAGCTTTAAGATCCAAGGTGAAAGGCCTGAAGAATAAGTTATTTGAAGATTAAACATTAGACTTGAAGAACTGGCTAGCCTGCCATTTTACAAACATGCCCTGTCAAAATTACCAAGAGCCAAACACAGGCTTAAAGACCACCAATGCTTCTTTATTTGGTCCACAAGGACCTAGCAGCTGTGGTTCCTGCCTGCCTTTTTAATCTTAGCTCGCTATCCGCTCCTCAATCTCAACCCTTTCTACTACAACCTACAAAACTATTGATATGAGGAACTACTAGTGACCCCTCCAAATATGGGGTGCCTGGGTCACACAGTTCCCTCTTTCTTGTGATTGCAATGATACAAACTTGCATTTCACAGAAAATTTAATGCACTGAATATATATGAATCTTTAACTTCACACAACATATAATACAAATCAAAACAATACCGAGAGAAATTTTATACTTAACAAATAGATAAAAATTAAAAATTTTGATAATACCCACTTTGGGCAAAAGTGTGAGGAAATAGGCACTCTGTATACTTTCAATGGGAGAGCAACTGATTCAACCTCCTTTAGAACAATTTAGCCATGTCTGCCCATTTTCAAAATCTACCCTTTTACCTAACAATTCAACTTCTAAGAATTTATGGGTCAGTTTGCCTAAAAGATATGTACAAAAATATTCATTACCACCTTTTCTTATAAAGGCAAGAGAACATTCACAAAAACCTGGAAGCAAATTAAATGCTAAAATTGATACATATGTAGCTGTTAAATCAATGAGAAGGAGCTAAAGAAAAATGTTAATTATATATTATTAAGTTCTTAGATACTATAATATGAGCCCGTTTGCTTTATTTTTTTTAAAGAGGATAGAGCATCAGTGGCTCTTAAAAGATGGTCTCCAAAAGAACAGCATCAGCTACACAGGGGAACATGCTAGGAATGCACATTCTGTACCACGTACAAAACATAACTTAAGATAGTTGGTAAGAGTAAGTGTAAAACCAAAAATAATACACTTTTCTTTAAAAAATAGACAATATTTGAGACTTCAGGTTAGGGGAGATGTCAGATATAACACTATAACCACGATCCATAAAGATCGACACCATGAAAATTACAAATTGATAAACTTCATCAAAATTAAGAACTCTGATTTCCAAAAGACAGCATTAAAAAAGGCCGGCCACAAAATGGAAGATAGTCACAAATCACAGATGTGATAAATAACTTATAATGAGAACATATAAAGACCTTTCCAAACTCATTAAGAAAACAAACAGTCCAATTTTTAAAAAATGGACAAATGAGTTAATAAACATTTCATCCAAAAATGTAGACACAGGGCAAATAAGCTCATGATAAGAAGACTAAAATTAGCAGTCATTAGGGAAATGCAAATTAAAACCACATTATTTGCATGGCCAAAATTAAAGAGAGTGACCACATCAACTGTTAGAGCCAATGAGAAGCTTCATACACTGGTAGGGGAGATGCAAAACAGCACAATTACTTTGAAATACTGTTTGGCTGTTTCTTAAAAAGTTAAACACACCTACCATGTGAACTAGCCATTCTACTTCTAGATATTTACCAAGAGAAATGGAACCATATGTTCATACAAAAACTTAGACACAAATGGCGATAGCAGCTTTAACTGCAAATAATACAAATATCCATCAACAGGTAAATGGATCAACAAAGCATGGTTTAGTCAGACAATGGAAGACTACTCAGCAAATAAAGGAATGAGCTATTTGTGTACACACAACAGGGATGAATCGCAAGATGATAATGCTAAAAAAAAACTACCACACACAAAAAATGATACTGTATGGCCCCTCGCCCCAACATCCTAAAAATATCTAAAATAATCTACAGTGACATAAAACAGACAATTGGTTGCCTGGGGGGTCAGGGGAGAAGGGACGGGATTAGGAGTGAGGGAAGAATTGCAAAGGAGCACAAGAAATCTTTAAAGTGTTATGTACATTCTTCACCTTGATTGTGATGATAGTTTCATGGCTAGATATACATGTGCCCAAACTTATCAAATTAGATGCTGTAATAGATGGCTTATTGTATGTCAATTAGACCACAATAAGACTGTTGGGGAAAAAAATCAATCCCCCCACCCCCAATAGGGAATGATTTCTTTTCCCCTATGGTACCTTGACTGCTACATTCTTTCTTCTTCCCCTATATTCAATCAGTAACTAATTTCTAACCATTCTATTCTAACCTCTCCAGTAAAATAACTGTGACCATCACCCATCTCTCATGGTGTAATACCGTCTCTCCAGTCTTCACTACTCCAATCCATTCTCCACTCTGCAGTCAGAGTAAGTTTAAAAACACAAATCTGAGTGTCCATTCAGCAGCTCCTACTGCTCTGGAGATACATCTCAAACTCCCTTAACATGATCCACCTGACCCTCCTGGATCTAGCCCTTTCACTCTCCCCAAACTCATTTCTCATGGTTGCCCACCTCACCTTTTCCTGCACAGTAACAAGAATCAACAATATGGCACAGCTGTTCCCAAATCAGATCATCTCCCTCCCCTCTTGTCTTTCTCCATTCCACTCAGAGGGAAGCTTTGTAACCCAATTCAGATATTGTCTCCTCCAGGAAGTCTTCCTAAAACCACACATTGGACCATTTGCCTTTCTCTCCATTCCTGAGAGCTTCTCTCTACCCTGCCATCACATGAAGTTCACTATCATACAATACCCCTCACCAGGCTAGAAGTAAACAAATGAGAGTTTGAAAGCAGAGACCAAGTCTTACTAGTCTTTACTTTCCCAGAGCCTACCACAGTGCCAGGTCCAGGATATGTGCCAACAGATTAGTGAACAAATGAATGAGCAGAAGGACAGATAGGGGTGATCAACTCTTGTACCATCTGAGTTGTTTCTACATTCCACTTTATAAAAAAGATGGGCAATGCAAGGGTAAGTGATCTCAGCAGTACATTCTGGCAAAATATTTCAAATTCCCTGCTGCATAGGGGAGAGCAGTGTGTGAAGGTGGGAAGGGGTTCCGAGCACTCTGACTGGGTGTCTGAGTTACTGCAAATTGTTTTCAAAACCAGCTGCTTATTGACTGTGATTTAAACTAAGTGAAAATAGAGGGAAAGGAAACCAGATTCCAGAAGACAAGGCCCACAGCAATAATTAACACAGCCTGGAAGAAGGCCCGATCTCCTCCCAGTACGCTTCTTAATTTCATCCAGAAAGACACAGTTCTCCACCCTCTGGGTTATTCCCTTGTCCCAAGATACAAGTTTTGACTTCTAAATCCATCCAGGGAGGCTCCCAACCTCCCTCCCCTCCAAAAATCAACCTCCAGGCTCTTTTCATCTACTCTGCTGTTCCCCCAGTCATCCTTATTAACAGTACTTGGAGCCTCCCCACTATGAGAGCCTCTTCAGCTGGTCTCTCTAACCGCCAGGCCAGTGGCCATCAGGTCAAGAGCCAAGCGCGAAGGCCTCATTAACAGGAGATTCCCAGAAGCCCAAGAAGCAGTCAAAAGGCTGCAAGACCCAGCTGGCCACTTTAAAAGTAAAAAAATCAGGATATAGACTTGGTGGGAGGAATGACTGGGAAAGCAAGCAAAACAAAACAAAGCAAACCTCTACCACCTAAATAAATGCCACAAACTCTGAGTAGACTTTCTTTCCTACTGATTTGCAATTCAAAAGCATAATCACTTCCTCCTCCTGATTTCCTATTTTAAAAATTAACCTAATGACTGTTCTTCCAAACCTAATGCCTGACCCTTTAATTTAGGGACAAAATTAGTTAAAACAAGAAGTGCTTCAGTGGAAAACAGTCAGTGATTAAGGAAATTCACCATTTTGCAGCTTGAGGATCTTTAAAAGGGGAAATTAGTAAAAACAGAAAGCTACTCCCAGGCCTCTGGCACCCAGGATTATAGTAACTGATCAAGTACTACACCATCCGAAAAACTGCACCCAATACATTAGCATAAAAAACTGAAAGCACTTAAAGTTGCAGGCAGCACTGCCCTTAGGCTACTACTTTAGGTAGCAAGATTTTACTTAAAGGGCTCAAAAATGCCCAGGGAAACTTTCTGGCTGCAGTAAAGGCCGACCCTTCCCTGAGTGGCCTGGACGCCTCGCCCAGGAGAGGATGCAGGGCCCCCAACCACGTCCCGGGAGTCAAGGTCCAGCTGGCGGGAGACCCTCGCGGCCAGGGGCAGAGGAGCAAGGGACGGCTGCCACCGCAAGGAAAAGGAAATTAGTTGTGGGCCCGGTGCGCTCTCCGTTAGGAGAACGTGCTTGCAGCGAGCCTACGTACTTGCAGAAGCTCCGCGTGCACAAGTGAAACTGAGAGGATGGTCACTTACTTGTCCAATCTGAAATTACATTATAGCTAGGGCTCCGCCAGGCGCTGCGCGCAGCCCCACCGAGCGCGAGCTGGGCGGTCCCCGCAGGCGACTTCGGCTCCGCCCCGCCCCTGGCCCCGCCCCTACCGGACGCGGCCCGTGTAAAACGTAGCCCGATTGGTTCTTTAAACCCGACCTGTGATTGGCCCGCCCTTACGCCCCGCCCACTTCGCCTTGGGCAGGTTTGGTCCCGGAGATTCCAGTTCTGCTGCCGGCTGGTGGCGGGCGTGGCGCCCTCCCTCCCGCCACGCCTGCCTTGCTGGAGTTTTAGAGGTGCTCTGTCCACTCGTGCTGCGGGTTTTCAGCGTAGGGCTTGTCTCTCAGAATTCACGTACACAAATTCTCGGCAGCCCCGATAGGTGCGTGTGTCATATGTGGATCCAACACCAGGAATGTTGTTGAAGGATGCAATAGTAATCATAATATTTATTAGATGCTTTGTGCCAGAGCTTGTTTCTGCTACTTGACATGAATTTATTCATGTAGACCAACCCTCTGCAGTGATGCCACAGTCTGTAATCTATAAAACATGGGCCTTTGAGAAAGTTACAATCTGGTGGATTCTGGAACAGATTTACCTCATTTAATCTTAACAATCCTTACTGTCCCAATAAGCTAGATACTGCTTATCGCTATTTTACAGATGTGGGAAGTCAGAAAAGTTGTGGCTTGTTCTGAGACACAGTAAGTAACCAGAGGGAAATAACGAGCTCCAAGCTCCGATTTTAGCTATTTTCTTTGAAAATGCATATTCCCAGGTTGATGAAACTCAAGATTTGGAAGATAGCTTAACAAATCCAAACCCCTTGTTTTCCTAGAAAATCCAAACCCTTTGTTTCCAAGTAAAGGGAAGTGATTTTTCTAAGGACATATCAATTCTGAAAGGTAAGCCTAGGTAATGACTAATTTTATTAACCTGAACTATGTGTGTGTGTTTTATATTTATTGTCTAGTATCATCATAACAAGCTCAAAAGTCAATAGATTCCTCTATCTTTGCCACAGAGGTGAGGATACTGACTCAATAAGGGTGAGGTCACATGATTAGTTGCATTTCTGCTAAGAACCCAGTGTTGGAGTAATTTTCTGACTTCTACACCATGCTCGTTCATCTTTCATTTACAACAACTATGCACATATCCAGCATGGACTCCTTGGGAAGATAAGAGGTACTGGAATCAGGTCACATAGCAGCTGTGTGACTAGCAGTGTATAACAAGACTAATAACATTAAAACCTATTCTTACCTTTGCAAAGTGTTGTGAAGAGCAAAGGAGGTAATAGTTATGAAAATGCTTTGTCACATGTTAGATGCTGAATACATATAAGACTGCTTCCATCCAGTGTGCCCCAGAAATGAAATAAATGAAATTATTTATTCCATTCACTGGTTATCTCATAAACTATAGCAGGAGGTTGCATCTTAACTAAATTTGAATTAGTGTGGACTTGATGCCTGTCCTTTATGGATGACTCTGTTTCTCGTTTGTGTGTACTTGATATTTTAATTGTTTGCTCTTATTATCATATTGTCACTATTATTGACAGCAGCTAGAGTATAATTACTGAGGCTCCAGAACATTTGTGAACCAGGAGAGAATCTCCAGAATGAGAGCCACACATATCAAAGCAACAAAGTGAAAGGGCTTGGGTTCCTAAAAACATGTAGTACCAGCACACCACCCCAAACTACTTCCAGAACTCTACGTGAAAGAAACAAAGTGCTGTATTGTGCAAGGCACTTTTCGTTAATGTTTTCTGACATATGGGGCCAAGCCTAATAATAACTGATTTAACTTACCTGGTAGAAATCCTATAGCAACTCTACAAGGTGATAAATGCAGAAACAGACCCAAAGGGCATAAGTAACTGGTTCACCTAGCAAAGTTGTAGAGGTAAAATTCTGAGGCCAATTCTCATTCTCTTTTTCAATTATGATACACTGCCTATTATGAATTAATAAATTGATTTTTGCAATTATTTCCATTTTATTCATTTTGTAAAGGGCCCAATAGTAAACATTTTCGACACTGTGGGTCATACAGTCTCTGTTGCAAAGACTCAATTCTGCCTCTGTGATGCAAAAGAAATGATAGCAGATAGTGAACAAGTGAATATGACTATATTATAATAAAATTTCATTTACAAAAGCTTGCAACACGCTAATATGACTACAGACCTTAGCTTGCCGCTTCCTGATGTGTTTATTCCTGATGTCCCATCATAAAAGTGCATGGGAAATTCATTTCAGAAGGTGGAGCAATTGGGACATTACAGGCATGTTCGCAATGTTGGCTAACATAAAGTAAGTGCATGGCACTTACTTAAAGTAAGTGACTTACTTAAAGTAAGTGCATGGCCCAGAAGAAAAATCCAGAGTCATGAGATCTGGGTAAGTTCTTTTATGCCACTGAAACCAGAGCCATATCCCAGACCACCCCCACTTGCCTAAGCTTATATTAGCAACAAAGTGCAATGCAAATGTTATCTGTACATTCCTATTTTCCATGGTTGCAGGGAAGCAAGGGCAAGATGATGTATGTAATCACATTTGAAAAGCTATAAATGTTATCCAGCTAAATGGACATTGCTTCACCTCATTGGGCAATATATTCTGCCTATATCCTTCAGTCCCCAGTCCTTCTTTTCATCACAGAACTCACAGAATGCATCAAATGCTAATTATTAGTTTATTGCTTTTCCTCCTCAAGTCTAAACAAAAAGTTACTGTTTTGCTTTGATTAGAAGATTTGATTATTAGAAAGTCTAGACACCCACTCAAGGTCATTGCTGAGCATCATGGGGGGTAGTTCAGGGTCACTGTCCACTAAGTACATCACAAATCACACTAAGAATTTTGGTTGCACAGCAGATATAAGCAAGACACAAAGAACTGGGTTGTGAAATCGTAGAACCAGCTGAACTGGAAGTTTGTATGGTTTCCATCCTGCTAAGAGACGGTTATGTATAGCTTCAAGAGGCAGACAGGAGAATTGGTACTCTCTCTATACTGGTGGAAATTATGCAATCCCCTCAGTGCAGTCTTAGGGAGATAAAATCAGGCTTTAGCAAGTCAGCCCCTCACCAAAGGAAAAAGGTATTTTTCCCTGAGATTCCCAAGGTCATGGCACAGAAGTAGGCACTGTTATTTATTTATTCATACATTTATGCCTTTATTTAACGAAGGTTTATTGGGTGCCATCTGCTCTGGTGTTGAGGAAAGCAGGCATTGTCCCTATCCTCATAGAAATTGCAGTCACAAAACCGCCGTTTAACAGATAACGCAAATATATCATTGATCCAATTCCAATTAGGAGAGAAAAGAGGCTACTATGAGAGACAAAACCTGATTTAGATTGAGGTCTGACTTAGATTTAGAAGGTGATGTTGATATATCAGAGGCTTTGCACACATTGTCTCTGGTCTTCTTTTACCAACCCTGTGAAGTAGTTCTGATCACAGCCATTGTACAGATTGGGAAACGGAAACTAACGTGCACTGTTAGTAAGACTGGAGCAGGAGTGCTCTCCCCAATAACATCATGCATCCTTTAATGATAGGGATAGTTCTGAGAAACATGTCATTAGATGATTTTATTGTGCAAATGTCATAAAGTATGATTATATAAACTTGGGTGGGATGGCCTATTACATACACAGGCTGTATGGTATAACCTATTGCTCCTAGGCAACAAATCTATACAGCATGTCATTATACTGAATACTCTAGGCAGCTGTAACACAAAGGTATTTGTGTAACTAAACATAACCAGACATATAAAATACTATAAAAATGATCCACTGTACAGGTTGCTTACCATGAATGGAGCTTGCAGGACCAGAAGTTGCTCTGGGTGAGTCAGTGTGTGAGTGGCGAGTGAATGTGAAGGCTGTGGGCATTATGATACAGTACTGCATACTTTACAAACTTTGTACACTTAGGTGGCATTAAATTTATTAAAGGGGCTCCCTGGTGGTGTAAGTGGTTAAGACACAGCGCTGTGAAGCTGTTGCCACTGCATCACGAGTTCAATCCCCAGCCAGGGAGCTAACCCACGTGGCACAGCAAACTTCTCCTGTCTCACCTGCTGCTCCCCTCAGCAGTGTATTTCAGTAGATCTGCCTGTTCTGTTCCCCACTCCGTCTCTGGTGAATCCTCTCACCCCCCACACCTCTGGCCTACACTCCAGCTCTTGTATGCATAAATAAATAAATGTTAAATAAATAAATTTATTAAAATATTTTTCTTTCCACAATAATGAATGAAACTTAATATAGTTTTCTTACTATTAAAACTTTTTAAATTTTTTTTGAGTTTTTGGCTCTTTTGGAATAACACTCACTTTAGCTTAAAACACAAAAAGATTGTTTGACCATACCAAAAATATATATATTTTCCTTTATTATATACTTATTCTATAAACTTATATATATATATATATATATTTTAACTTTTTAAACTTTTAAACTGCTTCTGGGAGCTCATCCCCACCCAGGTAAAAGTTGCTTGTCAGGTCAATCATAACCTTGAGATTTCTGCAAGCTCCTCATCCTTGGAAAATTCTTTGAAATTTCAGACAAATCTACTAAGGGTCTTCTTCTAGATGCCACTCATACATTCCTTGGCGACAGCATCCCAAGCCTAAGCAAGGGTCTTGATGTGATCATAGATATCATGACTTCTGGAGTTGCATCAGTGTCTTCTTCAGTTGAACAATAGTCTGGGCAAAGGTCCTCTTCAGGTAGTAGGCCTTAAAAGCTGCTAAAACTTCTGAAAGTGAGAATTTTTCTGCTGACCATATTTGCACACATTATGCCCCACTTCTTTCACTTAGAAGATCTCTTCCCTCATTCTCCTCTTATTGGATTCACATTTCCCCTTCAGCATCTAGATGAAGTCTACTTCCAGTGCAAGGTTCCTCTGTCTGTCTGAGAACTCAGTAAATACATTCTCTTCTAGAGTCTGCAGCCTCCTATCTACTACTCATCAGGTAGTAAACCTAGAACACCTTGTAAAGTTCATTTTCTTTTCTACATGCATG